AAAAAAAAAAAAAAAAAAAAAAAAGGCAAATCTGATTTCAAAATAGTTTCAAGATTAAGTAACTTCAATATGAGAATATAATTGAATTCATTTAGTTGACATTTTTGTACAAATTTCATTGTGTGTATGAATAGGGATGGTCTTTTCATAATATAATTTCAGAAATGAAAAATCTATTTTAGTTATTTAAAATACATGTGATTTTCTTTTATTAGCAGACCAGAGTGATGACAACTGTATGTAAAGAATATGTTATGAATCTGATATTTTGCCTATAAATTGTGCTGTTAGGTGGCTGCTCCTTGAGACATTCATGCTGTGAGATAAAGGGTATAGAGGCCTTTTCCCACTATTGGTGTTGGTGGAATTGCCCATAATTTTTCATGCCTCCAAGCAGAAATAATATGCAGGCATTCATTTTTGGGTCAGCACAATGTGTCATTGAGCAAAGTAAACTGAAACCTTTTTATGTAAATTATGGAACAGAAGCATTCACTTATTAATTGAATATCAATGAACAGAGACTTGTTTGTTACAAAAGATAAGGGATTTTATGTCTATGAGAGAAAAAGGTCATGTTTCAATACCTTTGTGATCATTATCCTATGTTTAGTTAATATGAGCACTGTTATATTAACTACATTGATCAAAACCAATAGTAAATTATTGTAAATGGTAAAATAAGTAATGGAAAACAAATAAAAATGAAGTGGGAAAGTAAAAGTTTTACTGATTTTTAAAAATTTGTGCCTGCCTGTAATCCTAGCACTTGGGAGGCTGAGGCAGGAAGATTCCTGTGAGTTCAAGGCCAGTCTGATCTACATAGTGAGTTCAAGACCAGTCTGAACTACATAGTGAGACCCTGTCTCAAAAAGCCAAAAAACAAAACAAAACAAAAAACAAAAAATAAAACAACAAAAAATTATCTTTCAAAGTATCATCTTTTTACTAAATCCCCAGATGAAATTACAATAAACTAAGTATCTTTAGTATCTTTTATGAATTTTCTTAAAATAGTATATATAATTTATAATTTATTCCACCAAAGGACTTCTAGACTTTATTAAAAAAGATTCAGTATGGTAGCTGGATACAAGGTCAACACTCAAAAATCAGTAGCCTTCCTGTACATAACACAATCACCAAGAGAAAAATGAGGGAAATAATTCCTTTCACAATAGTATCCAAAAAAATAAAATATCTAGGAATCAACCTAAAAAATGAAGCAAAAGACCTCTACTTTGAGAATTACAACACTCTGAAAAAAGAGATCAAAGAGGATATAAGAAAACGGAAAGACATCCCTTGTTCCTGGGTAGAAAGAAGCAACCTAGTGAAAATTGAAAATGACCATACTTCTAAAACTGCTATACAGATTCAATGCAATCCTGATTGAAATCTCAACAGTATATTTCACTGGACTAGAGAAAAAATACAAAAATTCATTCGGAGCCAGAAGAGACCTAGAATAGCAAAAGCCATTCTAGGCAACAGAGACATGGCAGGGGGTATCACAATCCCCAACTTGAAACTATACTACAAAGCCACTGTGATAAAAACAGCATGGTACTGGCAAAAAAAACTGACCTGAGGATCAGTGGAATGCATTAGAAGATGCAGAAATCATTCCAGACATACTCAGCTACCTCATGTTTGACAAAGGAGCCAACCATCCTCAGTGGAGGAAAGATGGCCTCTTTAATAAATGGTGTTGGAAAAACTGGATTTCAACTCATCAAAGATTAAAACTAGACCCTTATCTTGCACCATGCACTAAACTAAAATCCAAGTGGATTAAAGATCTAAATATTAAAAAAGAGTCACTAAACTTGTTGGAAGTTAGGTAGAACTCTTGAAGACACTGGCATAGGAAAAGATGTTATGAACACATCTTCAGTAGCTCAGGAACTAGCACAAAGAATCAACAACTTGGATCTCATCTTTTGAAGAAGCTTCTACATTGCACAAGAAACCACCAACAGAGGTAGGGGACAACCTACAATGTGGGAAAAAAATTTTACCAGCTGTTCCTCAGACAAAGGTCTACTATCCAGAATATATAAACAACTCAAGAAAATCAGACCCCACAAATTAAAAGACTCAATTCAAAAATGGGCATCTGAAATGAACAGACATTTCTCAGACAAAGAAGTAAAAGCAGCAAATAAACATAAAAAATGTTCAACATCATTTGTCATTCAAGAGATGCAGATGAAAACAACACTAAGATTTCATCTAACCCCAGAAAGAATGGCTGCTATTAAGAAATCAACCAATAACAAATGTTGGTGGGGTTGTGGGGAGAAAGGAACCATTCTTTGTTGTTGGTGGGAATGCAGACTGGTGCAATCACTCTGGAAATAAATATGGAGATACCTTAAACAACTAGGATTAGAAGTCCCATTTGACCCAGCTATCCCTGTGCTGGGTATCTTCCCAAAAGAATTAAAAAATCATATCACAGTGATATATGCTCACTCACGTTTATAGTGGCACAGTGTGTAAGAGCTAAAACTTGGAAACAGCCTAATTGCCCATCAACTGGAGACTGGATAAAGAAGATATATACATACATACAAATATGTGTGTGTGTGTGTGTGTGTGTAATGGAGTGCTACTCAGCCATAAAGAATGAGAAAATGGAGGCATTTACATTAAGTGGATGCTCACTGAGGACATATTCTAACTGAAATTAATAGGACACATGTGTAAATACTGAATAGCTTATCTGGTGTGATAATCTAAAAGTGAAAAATAAGGATCAAAATGTATAATTGATATTGTGTAATAGGAAAAGAGTTCTAAAAGTGTAGGGGAAATGGGAGGGGTAGGGGAAAGTTAAGAAGGGAAAAGAAAACATAAGGGAAAGGAAAAACTGGAAACAAAGTCTTTGTAAATAGGGGAAGGTGGAGGGGGTGGAGGGAGGCCAGGGGCATGGGGAGAAAATCAGAACCAACATACGTCATGTAAAGGTTCAAAATCCCAGTGATGAATATAACTATTGTACACCTAAAATGTACCAATAAAAAACAAAATATTATCAACTATATGGGTCAGGGATTTACCTTAGTGACATTGCGCCTGCCTTGCAAGCACAAGGTCTTGAGTTTGATACCCCGTACCAGAAAAAAAGTGCATATTAAATTATCAGTTATCATTTCTCTTTCTGTCCTTTTCACTTCCTGTCCTTAATTAGTTGTATATTTTCCTCTATGATTTGTATTGGTTAATACTAATTTTTAATATTTTTGTCAAGGTTTTAACCTTGCTACCTACACTGAGAACAAGACAAAACTCTTGCCTAGGCATGCTTTCACTCCCCACCTAATTTTTAAAAATGCCTTTTAAATCCTAACTCTAGCTCAGGGCTGTCCTGGGTGATATAGCACTAGACACATATGGTTGCAGATCGCTGAAGATGTGGCTAGTCTGCACCGAGATGTGCTGTAAAAAAAAATGTACAGTGCATTTCAAAGACAGTACAAAAAATGTAAAATCTATAGTTCATAGCTTTACACCAACTGTTATTTTTAAATTATGCTTCATATACATTGAGTTAAATAAAATATATTATTAAAATAAAAATATATAATTTGATCAATTTATCTCTTCTTTTCTTTAATCAATGTTTTCCATTTATAAAACACATAGATGACACATATCAAAATTATTCCAAGGACACCTTACTTTTTAGGAATATAAATAACAATTTAAAAGCAATAAAACAACCATCATAAGCATAATGTTACATGCTGATTTGCTTCAATTTTTAAATTACTTAATAAGAGAATCTTCACTTGTGTCTAAATGTCTACTCCATCAAAATAATTTTGGTAAAATTAAAAATTTAAAGAAGCTTTAAATGTAAATTGATTTTTAAAACTTTATTTGAAAACATCACATTTACGAAAAATGCTACAGAATGAGAATATTACAAAAATATAGTATGCTCTTTCACCTATTGCTAACTTTTTGCTTCATTTATTTTATAATTTTCTGTGTGCGTTATATGAAACACTTGTGCGTAACGTGCTTCATGATCCTTTCCCTGAGCGTCTCAGTGTGCATTTCCTATAAAAAGGGATAGTGCCTTGTCTAGCCACAGCACCACTACTAAGTTCAGCCATTAACACAGGTTTTTTTAAATTTAGTCAGCCATCCTTCTTCCGATTTGGTCAACTGGTCCAATAATATCCTTTCTCCCACTTTTCTCTGTTAATACAAGATGCAGTCTAGATTCAGGTACTGCATTTAGATGGTAAGCCTCCGCCTCCTTTTATCGGGAACATTCCCTTAGCCTTTCTTTGTTTCTTATGACACTGGTATTTTTGAATAATAAAGCTCACTTCTAATTAAATAGTCCTCAGGTTTGCGCGATATATTTCGTCATTATACATAGCTCAGGCTTCCCCGGTCGCAACTCTGTATTGGTTGTTAAGTGTTCTCAGGTAGCGTGCACTGTCCACCTGCCCCTCCCAAGTGAAATGCATTTTGGTCGCTCGCCGAAACATGCTTTTCGCCCCACAGAACTCAGAAACAGTCTATCTGGATATTCTTTTTTCTTCTCTTTAAAAAAAAACCAAAAACTTGTGTTGTAATATCTACATAATAAATAAGCATAGGGATTCATTTTTAATCTAGGATATTATTAATCTAGAAAAACGAAATGTTCCAAATACCTAGTAAACTTAAACGGCAACTTTTCAGTAGTAAGTGTGAAAGCAGGTACTCTTCTCTTTGGTTTTGTTTTCTGTTCCAGTTAGAATATGACTGCAGCACATAATGATTACATTCCTTGTGGAGATTTGATACCTGTACATAACACATCTCAACCTTCTTATCTCGTTTTCCTCCCTTCCCCCTTCCTCCCCACTTGAAAAATACCTCCCTACTTTCTATTATCTATCTTTAATTTTACTCTTTATTTATACGGATAAAGAAAATGTGTTTTTTAAAAAAATACACAATGAAGTGCTATTTTGCCGTAAAGAACAATAAACTTGAGTCATTTTTAAGAAAATGAATTCAACGTGAGACCACACTATTAAGTGAAATAAATCAGACTTACAAGTTTAAACATCACATAGTTTCTCCATAAATTCGAACTATAAATGAGGGAAACTCTTCAAGACAACACCAATACACTGAATTTTTTTTTTAGGTTTAATATTCATTGATGATTATTTCCTTATCAGCTCCTCTTTATGATACTGATTTTTTATCACTACAACCTCCCTCCACACTCACCAGTCAGCCTTTAGCATTCTGCTGTGATCAAGAGTTTCTCTTCTGTGTCCTTTCATTTATTCATGTTATCTACCAACTGATTGTCAGAGTCACTCATACATTCTATTGAGTTTTTCCCACTGGTTTATAGCTCATTGTTGGACACTGTAAGTTTAGTGCTCAGATTTCCCAGATTTAGCCAGTGGAGTCCACTTAAGCTGGATCCTGTGTCCCTGTAACTTGCATGCTTCTTTTTGGTTTTGTTGGTTTCTTTGCTTTTAGCTATTCCTCTCTTTCTGACACGTGGTTTTTTGTTTTGTTTTTATTCCAGGCTCATTTTTTACCTACCCTGTCTCCTCTCAAGGACTCCAGTACCTGAGTGCAGGAGATGCCAGCCACATATTTTTTATAACAGTAAAATATTAGTTTAATCTTTTTTTTTTTTTTTTGTACCAGGGATTGAACTCGGGTCCTCGTGTGTTTGCAAGGCAGGCCACCAAACCGCTGAGCTAGATTCCCGGCCCAAAATTAGTTTAATCTTGTCAAAGAGTTGAATTTGTTTTTTGACTTAAGAGACCTGACTTATGTGTGTAAGCAGTACCTAGTTCTATGTTATCCTATGTTAAGACTATCCAGATTAAAAAAATATGATGGGGCTTTGCTGATTCCTAAAAAAAAAAACCTAATCTGTAAAAATATATCCACAGTTGCACTGTAACAGCACTCTTTGTTGGTATATAGAGACCATCAAATATTTGCAAGTATTTGTGTAAATGGTTTAAATCAGTCCAAAAGGAAGTTCATTCTTTGATGGAAAGGGAAGTTGTTGCAATTTATAGATGATGCTTCAGTTGCCTTAAATGGCTCAACTTACTAAAGAAAAAAAGCTGTGAAACTCAACATTTGTATATCTACACACATCTGTGAACATGAATCTCATTTTAATGTGTTTCATCAAGACATAATATCAGATATAAGCATTTCTACACCTCTCCAAGGTGAGATATTTCATGGCAAGTCTTCATTAAAACTTGTTTCACTTTCTTGGGGCTATATTCTCTGAGCCCCACTTTTATCTAGACTAGAATATGGTTTCCTGACTTGCTCCATGGTTGTAGTCATTATATTCATAGTTTCTTCACTGTCTTCCCTGAGTGGAGATTTTTCTGAATACAAAGACCACTACGTCCCCAAAATTCTTGAGTGGAATGAATATGACTCTTCTAAAAAGTGTTATTCAGCCTCCCAAATATCTCTTTTTTAGACATTAGGAGACACTCTTAATTTCTGGTTTTAACCTTCCCCGATTATTGTTGAAAGAATTAATTGAACTAGTAGTCAAAGTGGCAGAACAAAGACTAGGCAGTAAAAAGTAAAGCAAAGTCCATAGCAGGTCATTATAAAGAAAAACTTTATATAATCATCATCTTTGTTTTAAGAAATTAATAAGAAACCATTTCCCCTCTCTTCTGAAACAAGATAAGAGCAAAGATAAGACTTTAACATTCTGTGAGCTATTACATAAGCTATCAAGGATTTTATTTTAAAGACAAGTTTACTAGTTAGGAAGTGTGGATGTGTAGAGAGCACATGCGTAGCATGGGTGGGTAGAATAGAGGGTAATAATTCTACTTCTAATAATGGCTGTTTAGTAAAACCTATCATATAGGACCATCTATCACATGCACAGTGAGTTAGGCACATGCACAGTCTTATTTAACTGACTTTTCAAAAAGTATTGTAATAATGATCTAGGAAAGTTCATATTACTGTCTCCCTGATGTAAAGGAAGATACTGAGGCAAATCAAGTTTTAAAAAGGAATAAGGTAATAAATCAAGAGATAAACTTGCTATTAAATTTTTTTGAATCCCTAATGTAGATTACAGATATCTAGAATATACACACTTTGTATTTCTGAAATCAATACTTCCTCCCAAGTTCTGTGCTATATCAAAAGAACACTGGGTAATCTTGTTCTTCATTGAACACTTAATTAAGTAAGTGAATAGCATCTCCTAAAGAGTACTAATAGCTAATATTTAAATGGCATTTACTGTGTACTAAGCATGGTTCTCACGTGTAATGTCTGCCAGGTTTCAACATTGTCCAGAGTAAATCTGTTTCAATATTTAAAATGTGTTTTTGTATCATATATGAATATAGATTCAAAAAATGGACCTCACCAATGTTATCTCATTGATGATGTAAATTAAGCCAAAATAGGAAATAGTATAATTGCAATAATGTCTGAAAAGCCTATAAGGTATCTCTTGCTCATGGAAGTGCTTCAAACCATAGAGAAATTGAGTTTTCTGTTGTGATTTCATGAGCATGAGGGAACATTTTTGACTTGCAATCTACAGAGTAAAATGTGATTACTGCACAGAACTATTTACACTAATACTAAACTATTGAAAAACATTTCTTTTCAACAATTTTCTTACAGCAAGCATTCCACATTAGAAAATATAAGCCAGTTATAAGGCAAAGAAGAAAGATAGAATCATGAAATGGGATTCTATTTCTTACTTTGAAGGATCTAAGCCTTTTGGGCAAAAGAAAGATCTTTAGTTTCATCTTTCCTTTCTCATTATTACTATTGTGCATACTACATTTTGTAGATCAAACATTCAATAAACTCTTTTAGAATTTTTATTTATTCACTCTTCCATTGATTCTTGTCAGTGACACCAACTATGTGCCAAGTACTATTTCGAACTTGGAAATACACTAAGGAACAGAGGAGACAAAATTTCCATCTTTGTAGAACATTCCACTGCAATTGTAAAAATAAACAAAAATATACATATGGAACTCCATGCCACTTTATGTATAAAGTTTTAATGCATTTGAAGAGCATTAAGAAGATAAAACTATGTAAGTACAAAAATTTTGCTCATTTTTTAATCGGTACATGTTTGCAGTACACAGTGTTTACATTCCTTGTGGGAAGTTGGTACAGGTATAAAACATCCCAAGTCCTGTTTTCATCCCCGCTCTTCCCCTTTCTCCACCCTCCCTCCATCTCTTGATTCTGCTCCCATTTGAGGAAGCTCTATCTCCTCATTACCTATTATCTCTTTTATGTTCTTCTTTTGCTATATTTGGGATTTTCATATAAGAGAAGCCATGTGATATGTAAACTTGTGTGCCTGATTTATTTCACTTGACGTTATTGTCTCAAAGTGTACACATGATTTTAATGTAAAATTGAATTACAACAAGAAAAATAGCAATGAAGCCATGCCAATATTCTGCCTAGACAGTGAAGGTGGCATGTGGTTTATGTTTGTATTCTTCTCTACAGTCTAAGCTTAAATTATTTGCTGAGAAAAAGGAACTACTTTGGATGTTTTATGGCTTCATTTGAATTGCAGGAAAACTGTGATACCACTTTTGAGAAAATACTTATTAATCAAATTTTTAAAGAAGGATCAATCTATTCTTCTTATTATTTTCCATAAATACCTGAAATTCATGAATGCCCCTTATATACTGAGAGATTGCTTGCCAGGAGGCTGTAAGTGTATTTCATGAATATATATGTGTATCTATTGTTTTATTAAAGTTTCATAGGGAGTAAATAGACTTTTCACTATCATAAAGTATTATCTTTGAGACACAAAATGTTACCATCAGGACCTGTTCTGCTCCCCTGGAAGTTGCTAATAGAGATTTTGTTAATTATAGAACTGCATAAAAATAATTTCAGGAGACCTCATCAAAGTATTTTAGATTTGTTTTTACAATTAGTCTTCTTTACGATAAATTCATTTGACTCTTGTGAATAATCTTATACTTAATCCCAGATTGGCGATTTACTAGAGTCCCAGTACCCTGATAATCAGCCACATCCCTGTGCCCAGGCTGCGCACAAGGAGAGCTCTCATGACAGTCCTAAAGATAGATGCTCACATTTTCATAAAGATCTTTGCTCTCCCAGGAACTAAACAACATATGTCAGTAGACCAACTCCTGGATTCAACATTCAGAAATCAAACAAGCCACTGAACTGAAAAAAAGTCAAATTTTTGATGGAATAAAAGAAAAACAAAATTCCCCTTCTTATTTCTTTTTGTGGGGAGAGGGGGTCCGGGGATTGAATTTGGATCCTTGCATTTGCAAGGCAGGCGACGGCTAAATCCCGGATCTTGTTTTTTTGTGTGTGTGTTTTTTTGTTTTTTGTTTTTTGTTTTTGGTATCAGGAATCGAATTTGGGTCCTTGCTCTTGCAAACAGGCAACAGAACCACTGAGCTAAATCCCCAGCCCGCATCTTATTTTTCTTCTTGGATCATGATCACTTTAATTCTGCCAAAGATTTATTTTTTAATTTATTTTACAGAATAGTATTGTCATGCTATTTCACACAGATTCTGTATTCAACCCACATATTTTCCCAGTGTGTGTGTGTGTGTGTGTGTGTGTGTGTGTGTGTGTGTGTATCTTTCGCCAGCAATTGAGTTTATTTGATGCCCACCTCTAGGTTACACCCCGTCCAAATTCCCAAGGATTAGAAGCTATATGTATCAGTGAACACACCATTGGTCCCAGCAACGCTTTCCAAGATCATCATCATGAGAGCCAGTGGTGCTCTAGGCCTGATAAGATTAGGTCCTGTTTCACCTCTCGTTTCCGTGTTGCAGTTCTACCTGCTGTTCAGTACCCCTTAGAACTGAAGCTTTTATAGTTTCCGCCCCAGATTCTGGAACTCTGTTCCTAGACTTCTTTCCCTAAATCAATGTCTGAATCATGGCTACCCACAGAAGAATAATACATTTAGGTATTTAGAAGGTTCAGGTATATTTGGATAATTGTATGATTATAACATTGTTCTTCTAAAATTAGCCTGATCACCTTTTTTCTTCTTGGAAAATTTATACTTTTGAACTGAGATTGTACATTATAAAATCAAAACTCTTTTGAACTGTTTTTGCTTTAGTCATCAAATTCAAAATGTAATTTTTTTCTTTAAAGCCAAAGTTGTTTTATGAAGGATGTAATCAGAAGAGAAAGTTGTAATGCCATTCTGAAAGTTTCAATTTTGTTTATATTTCGTAGGATAATATTTCCAGTGGCTCAAGTTATTCTTATTCAAAATAGAACAGAATCAACCATTTTGAAATCTCATTATTTTAAAGATAATGTCATAATGTTCAATAATAACACTATAAAATTTAAATATTCTTAAGAATCAGATTTATACAAAATGATGCAAGTAATAAAGCATAATATTATTATTTGATATGTAGACTAGATTTTTCATAACTGAAAATATAAGACATATTACATCAAAAAATGTTATATTATCTATCCATGTTCTGTTACTTCAAGTTTATTATTCTCAGCCTCAGACAAAAGTGTCTTACAAATAAAGAAGAAAAAGAATAAATAAGGAAAGAATAAACTAAGAATAAGATATTATACTGAATTTATAATTTTTCATATTAATACCAAAATTGTAGAATAATTCTGCCCTTAGTTAAATGCTGAGTTTAGACATTAGCAATATATTTCAATTATTTGTACACTAAAATATCTATAAGTTGTTTGTGTTCATCAAACAATTCTTGATGCTGAAAAGTGAGAGAAATGTTTTCTATGGATACTTGTATATGAGGATATAATAATATTAAAATGTGCCCTTAAGATCCTTATATTAAATAGAGCTGTTTATTTTCATATGGCTCAAGGTAAGCCAGTCGTTATCAATAAAAGCACAAAGGAGATTTGCTGCAGGGATTAATGGATTTAGAAAACAATATACTTCACACATTATTTTGTTAGTCCTGTTTAATCCATGTATGCAATTCAAAGAACTTTTTACATTTTGTATAAATTAGAAACTGATGAGAACTTAGTGGAGGGATGTTGCTAAAACATTTCCAAAGAGAAAGCTCATGAGCACAATAATTTTAATGCTGGTCAAGTATTTCTCTAAGTTCCATTGTGTACAACCATGGACTGTGTCGACCAGTAGTGGCAAATCTGTACAAATGCCACAGTGGGCAAGCAGCACGCAAGCCGAGTCATCCCAGCAACCGAGCATCAGGTAACACTTTTGTTTTTATTTTCTGAACCAAGACTCAGTATTTTGGTTTACTGACAGTGCTGGCTCTTTGCAATAAGTGAGTTTTGTCGTTAGGGCATTTGGTCTCTAAAAGGTTTACCATCTCTAAAAGTAGGTTACTTTTCAAAGTGCAGCTCAAGCCTATAAAAATTCATGAAATTATTTTGATTGGATAAAATGGACAGTTTCAAAAAATATTCTAATAAATATCTGGTAGTAATGATATAGTATTGAATCTTCCTTAATTTGTCATAGAAACAGCCAAACAAAAATAGCAATACCAAAAAATTCTGGATAACATCTACAGCAAAGCTTCATAAACCCATACCATGATTACACAGGGACTCACCATAATAAGCGCTGAGACCTAGAAGGCGTAAGCATCCAGTGACAGGAAGTGAAAAGAAGAGAATCAGTTCGATAGCCTTAAGAAATATAAACATGAACTTTCCCACAGAATACTCACTAAAAGTTGAGGTAGGACCAGATCAATCTAAAAACAGAAGGTGAAACCATACAGGGCTCCTGTAGGACCCTATGCATAAGCAATGTTTAACATGATGTGCCCAAGCAGTTTGAACCCTACAGACCATTAATTAAGCAGTCTGATGAAGCAACCATCAAAGGCACACACAAAGGGAAAAGTGCTCAGAGTAGAGTCCCTGGGTGTAGAATTCAAGTGAAGCAAGAAGAGAAACAAGAATGAAAGTGAAAGAAAAAGTTCAGGTTACAGTTGGGGCAACTAAAAAAGCATATCTCAAAAAAGTGTGCAGTGTGATCTAAACTAACTAGGGAACTTTATAGCTAAGAAATAAGACCTATCTTGACACACTGTCCCTCTTGAAAGTACAGAAAAATTTTATTTATGAATACACAACAGGAAAACATTGTGTTTAAATCTAATCCAGATTTATTATAACAGAAAGGAGAATAAGAAAAAAAAATGCACCCTTATTCTTTAGGAAAGCCTACCTGAATAATATGCTCCCAAAGGAGATTTTACTTTAAATTTTAATATTTTAATACAAGACAAAAGAATAAAGGCAATGCAATTTTATGAAAAAAATAACATAAGTAATATTTACAAAAACTTACCAATAGAATTATTGGGAAGAAATTACTTGGGAAAACAGGACAATTTGAATGAGACCTCAGAAAATTAAAATACTTTGATAAATAGATTAAATTAGATAGAATATATAAAGATAACAACAAAAAAGCAATTCTCCAAGAAAATTCCCCAAGAAAAATAGAATATAGGAAGGAGAACATTTCTAAAAATTAAAAATAAATAAATGGACAACTTTGAAAAAAAGGAATGGAATAGAAGACAAACAATGACCAAAATACACATAATGATTAATTAATTCAATGCAACAAATAAAAATTATAGTGCAAAAAACCTATTCTGGACAATCTAGCAAAATTATTATTTTGTTAATATAACAAAACTTTCCTAAAATGAAAGATACTTTAAAATTAATAACAAAAGCTTACATGACTTACCTAAGAAAACTGACCTAGAATGGACTACCTTGATATTCAAATGAAAGTGTTTAAAAAGAATAAAAAGAGAAAGACTTCCTGCATTTCAGTTCAAAGGGGAAAAGGGACTCTAGCAGTTTGTAAGAGAAATAATATCAGATTGTTATTAGGCTTTTGCCTAGCAAAAAATTATGCCAAAAATAATAGAGTAATATATTTAAAATCCTCGAGGCAAAATTTGGAAGTCACGGATTTTTCTTCCAGTCAAACCAATTTTTGAGTATAAAAGAGACAGAAAAATTAACACCTATGCAAGAAGTCAGGGAGCCACTTATGAAGAAGTGGCCCATGAGCCACTTATGAAGAATTCCTGGAGAACAACTTCAGATAGCCAAAAAGAATGAGGACACATCATAGTGTAAAACAGAAAAGAGAAAGAAACTTAAGGGTGACATTTTATATTGACACAACCATGAATACATGAGGTTAATAAGGGAAATACATATATAACATATAATGAGTATATTCTCATGTAATGTGGATGAAAGTACAACTATCAAAAAATAAGGTAAGGCTCGGGATTTTGCTCAGTAGCACCGCACCTGCCTCACAAGTGCAAGATTTTAAGTTCGATCCCTGGTGCCAAAAAGTAAGGTAAGGGTGACATCATACAAGAAAAATTGAATGTGCTTTGCCTGTGAGTTTATACACTATAATTCAATGAAGAAGAAAAAAGCATCAGACAAAATAATGCTAAAGATTATTTGTGAAAGGTTTGTGTTTATTACATATAGTTGTATATTTGGTTAAGATATAAAAATAACTAATATGAGTTTTGGTTAAAACAGCATGAAAGCCACTGCATCTAAAAAACTTGGGCCTCTGCTGTAAAGCTTTTTTTAGAGTATCTGCAATGAATGTATTGCATACACAGTGAGCACCCGCCTTACAAACCAATTTTGTTCCAGGAGAATGTTTGTAAATTGGATTCATTCACAATATGACAAAGTGAGTCCTATACCATATAACCATGAATCTCACAAGGACAACCGTGAAAGTTCTCAATTCAAATGTTCATAAGTCAGGGACTTACTGTATTTGATTTTAGGATGGTCTTTACATCTTATGCGGAGTGACATTAGTTTTGGAACTTTTTCTTTCTCCATACATTAAGTAATCAAAGTATGTTTCTTACAATTATAGTGTTTTAGATATGCTGACATACAGGATTTCACTGTTAGCTGCACTTTGGCCCCTCATATGTTTTCCACTTTGGTCAAAATGAAGAAGTTTGCTACCTTCACCCAAGAGCAGTACAAACTGTTAATAATTATTAAGTGGAATATAGAAGATAACTTTTCTAGTTTTCTAACACTACTCAGGAAAACATTTTATCATTTAAATTTTACATTTTAAATATTTTTCCCGGCTAAAGAGCTGTGATAAT